GTCTCATCTTAAAAGAATCTCGCACACACGAATCAATCTCCCACCACTATACACACTAACTCCATAGAAATTTGGCCGCAATACCATCTTCGCCATAAATATTTCTTCTCTTACATATATATGTATATATAAAAAAGAGTACTTTACTACTACCACTACATTAATAGGAGACAAGTAACAAAAATGGCGAATAGGTTTCATAGACTTTGCTTCGTAACTCTCTAGTAGACCCCAAAGCTTGGGGTTTCTTCTACATATGTTCGAGTGATCCACCACCTTTGAGCCTCTCCATTCGGGCTTGGAGACCAGACAATGCTTTCTCATCCATTGGCAGAACCATTGGGTGTGGTTGCGAATTTTCTGGCTCCATTTGGCTCGGAGGAATGGTCTGTTGGTTCATTGATATGTTCTCGTTTGTTGGCAACAGTGGTTTGCTTACTGACTCGAGGCTTCCTGATGAAGCCAGTTGCATGGTCCTCATCCTTTCTCTGATTGCATCTAGCGTCCCAGGATTGATGTTACTGGCTCGGATGTCGTCGGTGTATAAATCAGATTTAGGGTTCATCAGAGGCTTTGCGTCTAACGGGGTAAAGGAAGGAATATCAGGAGATGGAAGAGCTAAGGAAGAAGGGGGAGGAGTTGACAACGGTAAGCTTGAAGGCGTTCTTCCCGCAGCTGCATTCTTCTCCACCTAAAAACCCATTGCAAATCTTCAAGACACAACACTCGAGCTTTAAAGGGAATGATAGTAGAGGCTCAGCAATTTGTTACAAACCTGGGCCAAACCGTCTCTGATGTAAGTACGAAACGCTTCGCTAGCATTTTGAAGCTGGGAAAAGATATCAACCTACAAGCATTGAAATGAGTTTGCATTTACATACAATTTGGCTCAAATGGTCATGTGTTGATGAAGAACACAAGAAACAGACACTTGAAATCCAAAGCTCTATCCATTACCTTTGGATATGACTTAGTGATGTGGTAGAGGTCGTAAAGACCAATTGTGGAAGTTTGTTTGTCACCGATTTTCTTGAAAATCGCCCCAAGCTCTTGCTTCAACTGAACATCAGCAGAATTAGCGGGAGGTGAGGGATTGTTGGCTGTTGAATCTGTCCAATGGGTTTGGCCCACAGGTCCTGTTGCAGTTAACATTCTTGCTGCAGCTAAAGTCTGCGAGATAAAAGAAACCATTTAATTAGTTAATATCGACGAGATCAGAATTTCTCAACCATCCGCTTGCAAAATTGACATCTAGAATCCTGGACAGGAAGCTAAAAGACTGAGATTTACCTCAAGGTTCAGATCAATGTAAGCGAGGATGATGGGTTGGGGCCTCATGTCAATAGGGACAAGAGACAAGTGTCCCTTTATTGCAGCTCCTCGGAGCTTAACAAGTTCATGTAGAACAGTTTTCACCATCCTCAGAGGTTTATCATCTGCTCCAGCTCTTCTCATTGGGAAAAATATTAACAGAGAGCAAAATCAAAACGAATGAATAATGTTGAGTACGAAAAGGTCCACATAGTAAACAGACTAAGATCTGCAAAAGTTATGAGAGTGCATTTAAGAAGTTGTACCTCCTACGTATCTCTTCCATTCCCAGCTCTTGCAGGTATACATGGATACTCTGAAGAAGTCGATCAAGATCCACTTCATATATGGTGCTTTGGAGGAGCTGAACATAGACAAGCAATTATCAGATATGCAGTACCAAACTATATGACACAATCCCTAGATCAATTGCTTCGGAACTGCCTAATTTCACTTCCTCCTAATGATCCGCATTCTGTTCTCCATGACTTTTACTTTGCAACAAATGTAACTGTCTCATAAAAGTTCTTCCGTTGAATTCTCTCTTATTAGAGCTAGAATGAGTTGTTTAGATTGTATCCAATTTTTGTTGGCTTATCATTAAAAGAAAAAAAAAACTATGACACTGTAAACTTGGCAAGCCGGAAAATAGATACTCGCCAAATAGACAGCAGGGCTGAGTTAGTAACAGCTACGTAAGTTATGCCAACAACAATTGCCCTAAAAAAGTAGCTTTCATTGAAATCTTACCTTTGTAAGTTTAATTAGGCATTTAACTACCAAATCAGAGAATTTCTGATTCCGGACAGCATAAACTTCAGCAGTAGCAGGTGAAGGCCATCTAGATGGATCTAGAGGACGTAGCAAGCTAATAAGGACCACAAACGATGACGTCCGATCTGCATTATCCTGAATTTAATAACAAAAAGTGAGAACATCAGAGAGCTTCATAGTCACATATAAAGAAAACCCTTAGCATGGGAGGAATATCTAACCAGGATCTTAAGCATCAAAACATTCAGAGCTTTCAGAAGTTGGCTGCCATCTTCCATGCGTGGAACTCTTTCATCCAGAAGCCAAAGCAAGAGCTCTGTTATAAGACTTTCTAGGGTCCCTTCTTTGACTGCATGGGCAAGCTTTTTATTTTGGAATGTCTGCAACAATACATACTTGTGAGTAGCCAATCAACTAATGAAGAAGAGCAGCATCACTAAGAAAATCACTCGGTGTTACCTGCATAAGTGTGTTCAAAACATATTTACAAGATCTCGATGAAGCTCCCATTAAGCTGACATCAAACGTCTTGGCAACCTACCAGAAAAAAGTGGTGGTTAAAAAAAACTATTATTGCAAGCAGCTCTTCATTACAAATGGAAGCGAAAAGAAAGTTAATCAGGCAACCTTATTTGCTAAGCATGAAACAAGCCCATCTGCATCCTTCACAAGTTCATCAATTGCACTCTCTTCTGGATCATTAGAAGCCTGTGCCAACTCATGACACACAACTTTCATCCCTTCAACCGACTGCACATAACGAAAAAAGAAATTAAAAAACCAAACAAACACTCGCATGGATCTTTTCAAATAAGCAAATATGTAGGTGAGAATTATCGGTCAACCTCCCATTAAACATATCACGTATACTAAAAACCTCAAACAAAACTTTGTTACTGACTAAAAAACTGTGATAATAGTATAAAGCAATATTTTTACTATTCCCCAACACTGAAAAGATCTTCCATAACAAACCAAACAATTAACACTAAGATCAGGCCACACAAGCAAGATACCTGCTCTGGAGAACCAAACATAATGATATCCAAAGCCTCATTCCAGTCTGTTGGGCCATTAACTCCAGCGATTGTCCGGGGTACTGGGTTCCTCTCCAGAATTTGTTCAGGAATACCATAGGTTTGCCTGGGCAGGCAAAAAGATTGAGTTGTGTATAGAACCCGCATGAAAACCAGAAAATTAAGTGTTAAAAGAACATTCAGATACTAATTAAAAAATTACCTCGGAAATAAAGGACCTGGGACAATCTGAGAAAGGTCACCACTTTGCTCTGCCACTTCAGGTCTAGAAACAAACAGAAAATCATATATATTAGAGACACTAAACACTTCTTGGAATCCTCTCTGTTCCTGATTACTAAAAAAACAAAACATTGAAATACTTGTGACTCTATAATGCATCATTAGGCTTTGGATTTATGCAATTTTGTTTATGGCCTCCACTTTCAGCTTATCGCTAATGATGAGTACAAATAAGCCGGTACGCAAACGCCTTAATGCTGGTGCAATGCAAGGTTACAAAAAATTTCAACAAATTTACGCACCCATTTTCTCTAACAGAACGCCGTAATGCTGCTCGTGCCTCCCCAGGTCTCCCTTCCCTTCTTTTCTCCATTTCTCTGAACTGATGCAGAGAAAACGATGAAAACAAAACTCAAATACGAGAATGAAGCAGAAAAATAGTTCATATTTTAAGCTTACTTTCCACTTAAATTTTTCATCAAGCATACTCTTTTGAGCATCTGTAAGCTTCCCAACATATCGCCAGATGTCATCACCTACAATATCAAACCCAACAATGAGAAAAGAGTGCAAAAAAAATTCTTTCTAGGGCATGGATAACCAAAAGCAAAATTCTTTTCAGTATCATGAGTTTAGTTCCAGATTTAGATGAAACATACACGAGCCAAAAGAACAGAGTATGGTAATATATAAAATTTTGAACTAATTGCTGCGAACATGGCATGTTTTGAAA